AACATGACTATGTCATGTGGGGCAATCATAACCATACATGGGTGAGTTAATGGTGATAAGGGAGGAGAGAAAAAAATAGAAGGATAGAAAGTTACACAATCATCACCGTTGATTTAATTATTAATGGTTATGATCATCCCCATATGACATGATCATGTTAAATTACACATGAGAGGATCCATTTCCATATCTTATATTATAAGACAAACCCATTCTTGGGAAACTTCTGCCACGTGTCTGTTCCTCCTTCAATTTCAGGTTTGCTTTCACACTACACAAATCTAAAAACTTTCCTTCTTTGGTAATTCAGGGAATAAAAAAAATATAAAAGATATTATAATCTGGACTCAAAATCGATGGACACGATTTGCTATCTCAATTCAATCGTGAAGATTTGTTCTCATTTGTATTGACACACAGCTCATCTCATTTTCAAATTTTAAATTTGGAGTTCAAAATTTAAATTTGATTTTAAAAATCTGACAACTAAATTAATGTTCACCTACTTTCTCCATTGGAATTGTTAAACGTTTAACAAAACCTACACGCCTTCTCATTGTTCTATGAATTGCAAAATCACATCCTTATTCTTTCTCCTGTTCTTCGTGTTCTTTTTTTTTTCCAGATTCCATATCAGTGTAAAAACACATCCTTTTTCTTTTTCTTTTTCCTGTTCTTAGTCGTTCTTTTTCCCCCCACGTTCCATATCATTCGTCATTGTGATTTTCTTCCTGGTGTTCGTCTTTTAACATACCGAGAACGAGAATTCATCACTCTGAAAAATCGAAATTCTTCATCTTTGTAATGTTGGTCCTCAAATTTTATTCGTAAAGTGATTGTTCTCTTCATCTCTCACCAAAAAAATCTCAAATACTCTTCAACATTTTTTATCATCTTGAACCCTAAATCTATTGAGCCTGTGTTGGTGGTTCTATGGTTTGATTTCTGGGCAAATTTATGTCAAGACGAAATCACTCTATTGTGCTTCAAGATTTGGACATTGGAAGCATTCCTTTGAAATCTATACTCAAGAACGAATCTGCATTCCTCTCTCTTGGGTGCTGAAATCTTTCTTTCTTTTGGGAGCAGATTAAATCTAATTTTTGGGGCTTCATTGTGGTATATTCTGAACAACTCAAATCTTATTGTTATTCATTGAATTTTGGACTCTCTGTTCTGAAATTTGAAATTCATTAATTTTCTTTTGTTCTTGAAAGACTTTTCAGACGCAAGTATAGAAAACACAAAAGTAGCTTATAGAATATTCGTTTGTTTGTTTTTTTTGGTCTCATCTTTTTTCTGCAGAATTATTTTTTAAATGAGAAAGTATGAATACCTTATGTGTGCGCTAATAAACACATTGTTAAGTCGCTGTATATCCTAAAGCATTATTAGAAAACTTCCAACAGAGACTGAAACCACTTCACAGAAGAGAAGAAACAGAGGTTGTTTAGATCATATCTTATGTAATTCCTCCCCTACAGACTGTAATGTATCGTTTCCATTGACTGATATGACCCAATTACTATCCTTGCAAGCTATTTCATATTATCATTTTGATATCTAATTCATATTATCAATATTTTGTAGAGCATTTTTCTTCATTTTTTGCCTCTCCCTTTATCATTATTTAATTACTTAAAATGAAAGTCTGATTTTTTTCCGTCATTGTTTGTTTTATAAACAGAAACTCCTCTGCAAAAAAAGACCTCTACTTTTTTTTTGTATTTTCCGTCATTTTGTGACAGACAACTCATTTAATGTCCCACTATTTTTATTTTGTTGTATATTATGAGTAAAAAAGACCTCTACTTTTTTTTTGTATATCCCACTATTTTTTGCATGGATAATTGTTAGCTCTATTAATGCAGTATTAAAAAAACAAAAACATTAAAAAAATATTGTAAAATAACAAAATTATTTATATTGTAAAATAAATTTGAAATTTGTAAATAAATTAAATGGAAAATTATGTGAATAATTTCTTGTGGTAGACAACTCATTCAATGTCCCACTGCATTATACATTGGAATTTCCAAATTAATAATAACTCAACTCTTCTAAATTTTGAATTTAGGTTTAAATTTGAATTTGAATTTTTAACTTTGTAATGGTGAGAAAACTTTTGGAATTTTTTTTGTGGCAGACAGCTCATTTAATGTCCTACTACTTTTTTGTATATTATGAGTAAAAAATGTGGAACCAATGCACTCTATGAAAAAGAATATAAAGGTTCAACGATTTCGATGATAATAAACATGGAAAGAAAGCTTCAAGGTGCAACCATCAAAAAGAAGTCTAAACAAGATCAAGACTCAAGCTTCAAGAGAAGTCTCTAAGTCCAAACTCAGAGTAATATACTGTAGAACTTAGGATTATTTGTAAATTGATTCTTTACAAGAATGAAGCTCAACGTATTTTTTAAAATACATGCATTAAATCATCGTTTGACATTCAAATACATTCTTAACATGAAAACATACTTTTCAATGTTCATAAAATGTTTAAACAATATTTGAAAATGATGTGAATCAAGAGAAAACCATTTTAGGGCGAAAACCAACCTTTCAACAGGTTGGTAATCGATTACCAAACAATGGTAATCGATTACCCTTCATGGTAATCGATTACCCACTCAATGGTAATCGATTACCCACTCAATGGTAATCGATTACCTACTGTACAGAGACAAAAATAACGGCTATAAAACGGCTAGTTTGCGAAAATGAGTAGGAAAAAGGCCACGGGGGCCCTCTATAAATAGAGACTAATGTTCCCATTGATGGCACACAATTATTGATCATCATTACTCATTAATCCTCATCCTATTTGCATTATTTTTGTCTTCTTGATCATAAATTCCATTTGAGCTTTATTCTTGTGAGAGTGTCATATACCATTGTTCTTCAACTTATGTTATTTGTACTTTGAGAGTACTTAGCCATTATTAAACACCTTCCTTAATTACTTGAGTAGCTAGGGGAGTGAATCCTACATACTTGAAAGGTCACCAAATTCCTAAGAAAATTTGGAGTGAAAAAGTGTAAGGCATCAAGTCTGGACGTAGGTCACGGTGGTGGTGACCGAATCAGGATACATCTAGTTTGCAATTTCTCTAACCTTAATCTCTTTATTTAAGTATTAAAATTGCATCTTAGATTCTCTTTATATATTCGCTTGCTTAATTTGTTGATCACTACACTTGCTTTTACAATTAGACATTTATTGAAGAAATAGTCCTTAAAACATCAAAGGAGGTACTTTGCGAAAAGATTTTGTAAAACTCAATTCACCCCCCCCCCCCCCCCTCTTGAGTATTGAAGCCACTTGTCCAACAAAAAAGACTTATACTATTCTTTTGTTGTATATCCCACTATTTTTCTCATGCATAATTGTTAGCCCTATTAATGTTGCATAAAAATAAAAAATATTGTAAAATAAAAAAATTATTTATATTGTAAAATAATTTCGAAATTTGAAAATAAATTAAATGAAAAATTATGTTCACAATTTTTTGTGGCAGTCAACTCATTCAATGTCTCACTGCTTTCCACATTGATATTTCCAAATTAATAATAACTCAACTCTTCTAATTTTTGAATTATTTTTAAATTTAAATTTTGAATTTGAATTTTTAACATTGTAATGGTGGGAAAAGTTTCAGAAAAAAAATTGTGACAAACAACTCATTTAATGTCCCACTACTTTTATATTATTGTATATAATGAGTAAAAAAGACCTCTACTTTTTTGTTGTATATCCCACTACTTTTTGCATGGATAATTGTTAGCTCTATTAATGCTAGATGAAAAAAAATTAAAAAAATATTGTAAAATAACAAAATTATTTATATTGTAAAATTAATTCTAAATTTGGAAATAAATTAAATAGAAAATAATGTGAACTTGATATGTAGAAAAAAAGTTCAGCATTTAATATTTATGCAGTGAGAAAAGATATATATAATAATTTGAATTTAATATAAAATTATAGATTAAATAATAAAATATTTAAAATTATAAAAATCATTTAAAATTTCAAATTTAAATCAAAAAAATAAGAAATGGCATAATTTATACTTTACAAAAAATAAATTAAAATTTTAATATCGAAATTTTAAATATACATGTATAACCAATTAAAAAAATATACCTGTATTTTAAAAAAAAGTATTTAACATAAACTTTTTAATTAAACATGTATAACCAATTAAAAATATATATACAAATCATAAATTAAAATAGAAAAAATTATATAAAAAAATATGAATAAATAATATAAAAAATTTTAAATTAAAATAAAAAATGACGTCTGTCATTGTGTAAAAAATTATTAAAATTTAAGAACTATAAAAATGAAAATTTTAATTTAGTATATAAAAAAGAAATTAAACTTTCATTTTCTTTATTGCAAGAGTGTAATTAACACAAATACTTGCAAAAAATAATTATTTATATAAAATGCTGACAGTTAGAAGTGGAAAACTGGACTCGGCCCGGAGGGCCGGCCCGCCAATATATTTTTATAATTCAATTGAAATTTTATCCTTCTTCTTTTATAATTAAATTACTAATTCTATTTACCAAAAAAAAAAATTACTAATTCTGATTTCAATTTTTGTAAATATAAATTTATAAAATTTCAAAGACTAACGACACTAATCCTTGCCAAAAAAATAATTATTTATAATTATTTTATGAATCTGATTGTAGTAAATGAAAGTTCATCTCTGATATAAAATATAAAAACCTATACGCAACTATAAAAAAAAAAATTTGTGGATAAATATAAAAACTTTTTACTTGCTGATAGTTAGAGGTGGCAAACTGGATCGGCCCGGAGGGCCGGCCCACCAACACATTTTTTTAATTAAATTAAAATTGTATCCTTCTTTTCTTTTAATTAAATTTCTAAATCTGATTTAAATTTTTGTAAATACAAATTTGTAAAATTTCAAATACTAACGACACAAATCCTTGCAAATCCTAAGCTGCGTTGATATGCCATTTGGTGGAAAAATTGTTGTTCTGGGAGGTGACTTTCGACAAATACTACCTGTCATTCCTCATGGCAGCAGACAGGAAATAGTAAATGCAACCATAAATTCTTCTCATCTATGGTCCCATTGTCATTTATTAACTTTGACCAAGAACATGCGTCTTAATTCTGGAAGTACCACTCATGATGTGAAGGAAATAAAAGAATTTTCGGAGTGGCTACTTAAAGTTGGGGATGGTGATCTTGGAGATGATGAAGACGGTGAATCTATGATAACAATTCCAGATGAATTATTGATTACAGAATCGGAAGATCCCCTTTCAGATATGGTTAATTTTGTTTATCCGAACCTCTTGGATAATATTTTAGATCCATCGTTTTTCAAAGAACGTGCTATTCTAACTCCATAATTGTCCGATGTTGCTATGCTGAACGAACACATGTGTCTATGAACACATGTGCTATTCTAACTCCAACGTTTTTTTTCTCATGCAGGAATCGTTTTTCATGCACACATGGTATATTATTAACTGCTATTTTTGAACAAACAATATTCCATCGTCATCAATATATGGATGTATTGTTATGACACTTTTTATTTGTACTCACATGTTCGTGTGTCTTTTTTTTTCATACTTTGATTTGTTCATTATTACTCATTCATTCCTCAGAGGATGAAGGATAAAAAATGTAGGTTCGGCATCTTGCATGTGTTGCGTTAGTTTTTACGAGACAAACAAATCGATTTTTTTTCCTCCGTGAAACACACGGGTAATACACTAGTATATATATATGATGAGGGATATTCTAACTACTAACCAAATCCAATACCCCCATAATCACTGTTCTATCAAAGATAGAGATGTTGAAAAATTTTGTAGAAGGAGAAAATGCTAATCCAACTATGATTATGGAGATAGTGGATTGGTAGTGAATTTTTTTAGTAATAAAAATATTCCCTAATTATATATCCCCAAGTTTTATTGGACGAAGGAAACTATATAACGGATGATTCAAAATTCTAGGCAAGGCAAAGGGAACGTATCTCGCAAGTCTCTTCGAGTCTGCTTCTCTCGGTTCGTTCTGCATTCCCTTCCCTCTCTATGCATTCTCTTTGCATTTCAGTTTTCGAATTGAACCTTGCAACGCTCTCTAAATCGATGCATAGTCTTTATTTATTTTTTCCCTTTTCTCAGGAGCATCATGGTGAATCGCGAGTCGGAAGCTGGAGATAGTAGCAGAAAGCTTGATTCTGAAGTCCCTGCCCTGAACGACGCTGATTATCAAACTCTCAACGGCCGTCGAGGTCTTCGTTCTCGGTACCTTGCCGTCAAGAACATGATAAACAGTAATTCAGATTTATTTCTTTTGCTTTTCGTGTTTTTTTTTTTTAATCTGCTTGATTGCTTGATTGTATAGGATCCTTACTAGTTAGAATGCAGAAAAAAAAAACCGCAAATTTTGTGTTATTTTTGTTTCTGTTGATCGTTTCTCTATTTTAAGTTCTACTTTAAAGTTACTTTAAAAATACAAAAAAATCACATTATATACCTTCAAAAAAAAAATCACATTATATTAAACTAATTTTACTAAAAATTAATTTTATAAAGTTAAAGTAATCTAAACCCCACTCACAAGACACACTAACCAATTGCATTATCTTGGTCACGCTTCAAATCTTATTTGCTTATGTTTGTTACGGTTTTTGCAGATGAAAGGGAGGAACTTGCAATGCCTGACTCTCACAAGTTTGATTTGATCTTTAGTGAAATGGAGAACTTACATCAGCTAGGTATTTATTATTTCTGAATTATTGTTTTTGACAGCTTTTTTTTTTCATATCTCTTTTATTTTTTCAATATCTAGATAATTGTGTCACTCAGTCAAGGGGCTCAGTAGTATTGTTCGTCTATGGCGAAATTTCTAACATAGAAACGTAGTACTTATATCCGCTAAATAAAAATACAACATCTGACATGTTTCTTGAGGATAGAAAAAAAAAACTATATTTATGTATTCCTGAAGATACATAATCTGTAATTTTATTTTGAACGGAAGTCGTATCCACTACACAGTGTGACTGATAATACCAAAGATTATCTCCTTCTATGGGGTTAATTGACCCATGTAGTAGGGGGAAATTCATTTTGGCCCCCAGAATGCGAGATACTATTGCGTTAATTTAGCGTCTTTCTCTTAAAAATTAAAGCTCCTTTCCCAGTCCATGACAGTGTATGATGAGATGCGCTGGAATGTATATCATTTTTTAAGGTGTTATAGACTCAAGCGCGTCCACCTGATAACATCCCATCCTTTCTGATTAAAGAATGTGATTACGAATTAATATAAAATTGAAAGACTCAAATTAAATATTAAAATATTCAATATTCAAGTAATAAATCAATAATCATAGTATTTTCCAAAATCATTAAGTGGTGAATATGTTAGGTTAATCTTTAATTTAAATAAAAGAAAATAGAAATATGGAGGGTTTTGTTTTATGTTGTGTCCCTAGGCATATGTTAATGGATAATTAATATGTTTAGATTTCCTATGTTAGTCATTATTATTCTTAATCATTTGTTGTTGCTTATAAAAAGTACATTGTAACTCTTGTAAAGTTGCACTTGGCAGAATCAATAATACAAAGAGGTATATTCAGAGAATTGCTTGTGTGGTAAAGTGTTTGAGAGAAACACCATAAGAGGACCTGTGAATTACAAATTGGTATCAGAGCTTGATATCAATGGAAGGTGTGAGTAATGGTCTGCCAGTGCCCCGCCTGAAAAAGGGCAACTATAAGAATTGGAGCATCCAAATGAAGGCTCTCCTAAGAGCATGTGATAGTTGGAATTTGGTGCAAAATGGGTTCGAAGAACCTGAAACAACAGAAGGATACTCAGCAAACCAACTCAAGCAGTTGAGTTTGTCAAAATCGAAGGATGCAGCAGCACTGTTTATGATGCTTCAAGCTGTTGAAGAGTGCGGTGGTATTGAGAAGATTGGAGGTGCAACAACGGCTAAGGAGGCCTGGGACATATTGGAGACAATCTACCGAGGTGCTGACCATGTGAAGCAGGTCAGGCTTCAAACTCTTCGAGGAGAGTTGGAGAGGATGAAAATGAAGGAGACCGAAGGAGTTTCGGATTTCATCACCCGGGTTCAGACCGTTGTGAACCAGTTGAAGAGGAATGGAGAGACGTTGGCCGACTCCAGAGTAGTAGAAAAGATTCTGAGGTCGTTGACAGACGACTTCGAGAACATGGTGTGTGCAATCGAGGAGTCCAAGGACTTGTCTACGCTCTCTGTTGACGAGCTAGCAGGTTCCCTTGAGGCGCATGAGCAACGCAAGAAGAAGAAAAAGGAGGAGTCGCTGGAGCAAGCACTCCAGACAAAAGCAACCATTAAGGATGAGAAGGCGCTCGACACTCAGAACGTCCGAGGTAGAGGTTGTGGACGAGCTGGACGTGGAAATGGCCGAGGTGGTCGTGGCCGAGGTCATGAGGTGAAAAATGAAGAAAAAGTTGAGCCAAGTCAACAAAACTGGAGAGGAAGAGGACGTGGCCGAGGTGGAAGAGGCCGGTGGTCAAATCAAAGTAATGTAGAGTGTTGTAAGTGTGGCAAGTATGGCCATTTTTCAAAGGACTGCAACTCGGACAAATGCTACAACTGTGGCCGAGTTGGACATTTCGCAAAGGATTGCTGAGATGAAAAGAGAGTTGACGAGACGTCAAACTTTGCTGCAGAAGGAGAGATAAGAGATGAAGGAGTTCTGATGTTGGCACAAGGTGAGACGAGTTCGAAGAGTGAGACGGAGTGGTATTTGGATACCGGTGCCAGTAATCATATGTGTGGTTACAAACATTTGTTCAAAGAATTGAGGACGGTGGAAGCCAGACATGTCTCTTTCGGAGACGCGTCCAAAATTGATGTAAAAGGCTGTGGTACGGTCTGTTTTCTACAAAAAGACGGACGAGTTGGTACAATTCAGGACGTGTATTACGTGCCTGAGCTCAAAAGCAATATTCTGAGCATTGGACAGTTGATGGAAAAGGGCTACTCGGTTCTAATGACAGACCGAATTCTACTGTTGAAAGATAAGCAAGGACGGTTGATGGCCCGAGTTCAGATGGAGAAGAATAGGATGTACAAACTGAAAGTGAGGAACTTGGAGGTCGACTGTCTACAAGCCGGGGTAGAAGATAGGATGAATTTGTGGCATAGACGTTTTGGACACCTTCATTATGGTGGTTTGACCAAGATGATGAAGAAGAACATGGTGGTAGGACTGCCGAAGATAAACTCTGAAGGAAAGTTTTGTGAGGACTGCGTATTGGGAAAACATGCAAGAAGCCCATTCCAAAGGACGGCGAGATACCGGGCTAAGCAGCCTCTGGAACTTATTCATACCGACCTGTGTGGACCCATAACTCCGGGTTCCTTCAGTGGAAAAAGGTATTTTGTCTCGTTTATTGATGACTTTAGTCGTAAGACTTGGGTTTATTTTCTGAAAGAAAAATCCGAGGTGCTGGATACCTTTTAGAGGTTTAAAGTGATGATTGAAAATGGTACTGGGAGGTACATCAAATCAGTTCGTTCAAACCGAGGTGGGGAGTATGTGTCAATAGCATTCAAGAAGTAATGTGAAGAACACGGGATAAGGCGGTTTCTGAACGCGCCATACTCACCCCAGCAAAATGGAGTAGCTGAGAGAAAGAACCGGACTATCTTGGATATGGTTCGATCCATGTTGAAGAAAAAGAACATGCCAAAAGAGTTCTGGGGAGAAGTCGTACAGTGTGCAGTGTACGTGCAGAACCGATGTGCTCATTCAAGTCTGAATGATAAAACCCCGCAGGAAGCGTGGAGTGGTTTGAAGCCCTCAGTGGGTCATTTTAAAAATTTTGGGAGTGTTGCGTATGCACACATACCAGATCAGTTGAGGACGAAGCTTGAAGACAAAAGTAAGAAGTTCGTGTTCATTGGTTATGATGAGAAGACGAAGGGATACAAGTTGTTGGATCCCGTCAATAAAAAGATGTTGATAAGCCGAGATGTGAAGGTAAATAAAGAAGATGCTTGGGACTGGGGTTGTCCATCCGGGGTGAATGTTGAACCCGGGAAAATGACAATTGAGGTCGGACAACCTTCGTCCCATATCCCAGCTAATCATGAAATCTCTGATGATGAAGAGCAGAGACAACCGAGAATGAGGAGCTTGCAAGACTTGTATGACTCAACTAACGAAGCACACTTGGTATGTTTGTTGGCAGATTCTGAAGAAGTGAATTTTGAAGAAGCAATCCGAGATGAGAAATGGCAATCAGCCATGGAGGAGGAGATTAAAGCTATAGAAAAGAACAAAACGTGGGAGATAGCCGAGCTGCCCAAAGGAAGTCGGCCAATTGGTGTGAAATGGGTGTACAAGAAGAAAATGAACGCTAAGGGGGAGATCGAAAGATACAAAGCCCGGCTAGTGGCGAAAGGGTATAGACAGAAGGCCGGCATTAACTATGACGAGGTGTTCGCACCCGTAGCAAGAATGGAAACAATCAGGTTGTTGATCTCTCAAGCAGCCCAATTCGGATGGCCGATCTATCAGATGGACGTAAAGTCGGCATTCTTAAATAGAGTACTCGAGGAGGAGGTGTATCTCGAAAAACCTCCGGGTTTTATGAAAGTCGGACAAGAAAGAAAAGTGTTGAGACTGAAGAAAGCTTTGTATGGAGTGAAGCAGGCCCCAAGAGCCTGGAACACAAGAATTGACAATTACTTCAAGAAGGATGGACTTGAACAATGTCCATATGAACATGCACTATATGTGAAGAAGAGAGGAGATAAAATTCTACTTGTTGCTCTATATGTTGATGATCTGATTTTCTTGGGTAATGATGAAGGGATGATTCAAGATTTTAAGAAGAAAATGACGAAGGAGTTCGAGATGACGAATCTCGATCTGATGAGATATTTTCTTGGTTTGGAGGTTAGACAAGATGAATCCGGGATCTTCGTCTCTCAAGAAGCCTATGCAAAAGGAATTTTAGAGAAGTTCAAAATGAGTGATTGCAACCCGGTTTCAACGCCAATGGAACCCGGTTTGAAACTCTCAAAGTATGATGGAGGAGAGAGAGTTGATCCGAGTATTTACCGGAGTCTAGTTGGAAGTCTGAGATATTTAACATGTACAAGGCCAGATCTGTGTCTGAGTGTTGGGATCATAAGTCGGTTTATGGAAAACCCGAGGTACACTCACTGGAAGGCAGCTAAGAGAATTCTGAGATATGTGAAGGGAACAATCTCACAAGGACTTCATTACTCAAAGTCTGACAAATACAAACTGACGGGTTATTCAGACAGTGATTGGTGCGGAAATGTTGATAATAGGAAGAGCACGGCTGGCTATGTGTTCTTCATGGGAAACACGGCGTTTACTTGGGTGTCGAAGAAGGAACCCATAGTGACCCTATCTACATGTGAAGCCGAGTATGTTGCGGCATCTTGGTGTGTTTGCCATGCAATATGGCTGAGGAATTTACTAAGCAAGCTGGAGCAAGAGCAAGTCGGCCCAACCGAGATTCGAGTTGACAACAAGTCCGCGATCGAGTTACCTAAGAACCCGGTCAATCATAAGCGGAGCAAACATATTAATGTTAAATTTCATTTCATCCGGGATCAAGTAAAAGAAGGAAAGGTGGAACTCACTCATGTTGCAAGCCGAGATCAAGTTGGAGATATTTTCACAAAGCCTCTGCCGACGTTGTTGTTTGAGAATTGCAAGAAGAAGATGGGAATGAAGGACGGTAGAGATATTAAAGTTTAAGGGGGAGTTTTGTTAGGTTAATCTTTAATTTAAATAAAAGAAAATAGAAATATGAAGGGTTTTGTTTTATGGTGTGTCCCTAGGCATATGTTTAGATTTCCTATGTTAGTCATTATTATTCTTAATCATTTGTTGTTGCTTATAAAAAGCACATTGTAACTCTTGTAAAGTTGCACTTGGCAAAATCAGTAATACAAAATGGTATATTCAGAGAATTGCTTGTGTGGTAAAGTGTTTGAGAGAAACACCATAAGAGGACCGGTGAATTACAGAATCAACAGGAAGAATGGGGGAAGAGCATGGTCGGTGTCACACTGTTAGATTCCTACTTCACTTCCCAGCTCCCACCTACCAATCTGAGACTTTAAGATTTCTTTGGGGGCTGTTTGGCATGTGGCATCTTCTGAAAATCATGGGAAAGTGAGGTAAGTAAACAATTTTTAGAACTTCGCCTTATCAAGATGGTTATTCTGGGTTAAAAACTGTTATGGAGCCGTAAAAGTAGCTGGTATTTTAAGATTTCTTTGAGCTTCATTATACAGTTATTCTTCCTTTAATTTTCATCCATATGATTAATCTACTGGAAACAAACCATTCAAGGGAGTTCCCTTGTCAATTAATATTGGTTATGTCATTTCTTTACTCTGGCTTCTGTAAATGAACTTTGTGTGAAACTACAAGCTTTTTTTGTCATTTAATGTCTTTTTTTCTCTATTCCTTTTCTTGCATTGAATTCTCAGTTGATGGTTCGCTCTGTTGGTCTTGGGGAGGAGCTGATGCCTCATAGGAATAGTCAATCAGAGAGTGTATAGTATCTGCATAATCTCATGAAACAACAGAAGTTAATGAATTATCCAGGAAGCGTGATTTGGTTCCACAGCAGCAGGAATTCATGAGAAACTCGTCACCAGAAAGTATGTGTCAGTTGAAGAGTGAAGACTCACCAGTAGTAACTAATGTACAGCCACAGGCATTCAGCGTGTGCTACAAAATATTGATGTACAGGCATTATAGAAAAATTGATCTAAGATTATAGTGTATTAAAAGTAGTAAAATTTAATGAAAGCGAATATAAAAAGTAGTCTTTTTAGTTTTTGATACAAAATAAAAATTTCCTGCATTTTAATTATAATAAAAGCCAAAATTGTGAGATTTATGATATATTAATTTTAAAATATATAATGCGTTCGCAAAAATTCACATATAATATTATTTTCTTATTGTACAATATGGTAATAAAATTGTTATCGATTATTTATACCATGGTAAAAAAAGTAATTAAAAACGAATAACTCGCAAATGATTATACTCATAATATTCTACACGTACTTTTTCTTGAATTTTTTTATTTGACTCAGTATATCTTTATTTTCTATTTTATATATTCTTTTTAACACAATCAGTTCTTCTCTCTTTACTAAATTATTATAGAAAAAACTGAAATTTGTCGCCATGATTTTTCTACACTTAGGTGTCGTGAAGTTAAATGGAATAAAAGAATTTAACACAAAATAAAAATGAAAAGGAGAGTGCTGTTACATTATTCAGTGACGTTATGTTATACTGTCACTCATGTCATGTGATGAAGGGTAGGGAGCACGTGAGAGGAGAGAGTGATGCGGCGCAACACAAAAAAGGGAGCAAAGACCTAAGCGCAAATCCAACTCCAATTGAAACCCTAATTTTAAAATCCTCAATTATTAATTATTACGTCATTATTATAAAGTAATCAAATAATTAGCTATTGTCACTCTTCTATTTTTCCCTTGCTATTTCTCTCTCTCTCTCTCTGCTCCTTCTTTCTCCAAAACCCTTCTTTCAGGGTCACTGCTAGGGTTAGGTTAGGTTAGGGTTAGGGTTTATCCACCTTTTTTCTCGACCACTCTTATTTTTATCTTCTTTCTACTTTCCTTTCAATCTCTCACTTCAATTTAAACCTTTTACGTTAGGGTTTCTTCCGCAATCCTCTGTTCTCGGAGGTCATTCTTTTATTCGGATCTCGATCTATGGATACCCGCAAGAGGGGAAGACCCGAACCCGGCTTCAACATAAATGGCGGACTCAAGAAATCCAAGCAAGGTTTGATTTTTAGCTTGCATGCTCTTCTGGGTTTTGCTCTGCCACTTCTCTTTGGTTTCCGCTCTAAAAACTGTTTGCTTTTGTGGTTCAAGTCACTTGTTACACTTCTATGCAAGCTTCTTCTTTTGTGTTTGTGAGAATGTATATCGTAGTCATTCTTCGTTTGTTATTAAAAATTTTACTAAAACTTTGAATTTGTCAAAACTGTTACGGTATGGTGCTCATTGAGGAGGTAATCTTCTCTCTCACGCTCACAGACATACCTAAAATTTTAGTTTAATTATTTCAAATTAATCTATTTTTTCAATTGTTGGGGCATGGGAAAACTTGACGATTGTGCTTGCCCCCTTTCGCTCAAACTTTGTTATGTTAGATAATGAACTCAGAACGTGTCAACATATAAAATTTCTGAAATGCTATAACTCAAAAGTAAGTGTGTTTTTTAAGTAGTTAACAGTTTTGGAATAAAGTGTACTAGATTAATAAACAAGAGAATGTTAACTGAGAATAAGTAATAATGTTTTGCAACAGAAATGGAGTCCTTATCAACTGGTGTAGGAAGCAAATCGAAGCCATGTACCAAGTTTTTCAGGTGCTAATCTATTCCTGCCTAAACAAATATTTTGGACTGCCATATTATCTATTTTTAATAGTGTTATATTATAATTTATTTTAAGAATTAATTGTTGAATTGCTATAAAACTGAATTGTGCAATTCTGCAAATTAACTGGGTCTGCGAAGCTTTTATACAGGTACATACAGTTCTTTGGTCTAAGTAAGTTGTAACAGAATAGTGGGTTATTAACAGAGTACGAAAATGATAACAAGTTGCAGGATGATAGTTGGCATGGAGACCCCTATATCAATGATAAATTGAACATTTCCCACTTCTTGTTTACCTTGCAGCTTAATTAGTTTGTTTCCCATTTAATTATGTTAACATTAATTTTTCAGCTTTTAATGGATCCTATTGCTTATGAACCCACCTTTCAATTGGTAAGCTATTAACAAACTAATATGAATTGAGCTTTGATTGATTGCGTCAGGTATGTTGTCAAAACTACATACAAATAAATTTTAGTGGTTTAGTTCTTTAATTCTTGTTGAGGAAAACAGAAAAGCATTTTTTTTTATCCATCACCTTTAACAATAAGTATTCTATCCAATCTAAAATTCTGATCGTATTAAACTCTCAGCCAGAAGTAAGCTGTGAATTTGATCATTATATTGTTTGTTATTTTAATCCACCCTATTCGTAAAGTCTTCTTTTTGCTCCTAAGGGATGGTAACTTGTTGAATTTGTTCTGCTTTAGTTATTGTTTGGTACCATTATTTTATATATTTTTAATAGAAAAACCTTGCTTTGTTAGTTTGTTGGTCTTCAATATAAATGTTTCTCTTATTCCAAACAATCTTCAAATAGATGAGGTTATTAGATATAAATATCCTTTTTAGATGTAAATCTATGTTTTAGAGTTCTTACCTATGAATGTATGTCCTTGGTTTCTTGTATGCGGACTTTTCTAGGCCTGTGTTGCCTTTCTAGTTCACACTTCCATGCTGAATTTCTTCCCCTTTGAATTTTTGGAGAAACCCAGGATACCAAGAATTGGTCTGCTTTGCTGTAGTTGCAAGTCAAATTGATTGAAGGACTCAATTTAATTAATATGTTGGGGGGATACAAACAGGAAAAGTGAAAGTTTTGACAGGATGTCAGCAAACTTATTTCTATGCTAAAACATTGACTTGTTTGGTCCTCTGAAGTGCTGTCCCGAATGACCTTATGTCTCTTTCTTCTGTTTGGCTAATTGTTCCTGCTGTATATTTCCTTTTCAGTATATATATATATAATATATATAGGGTTTTACATTCCTGCAGCTGCTGTACGTGCAGCAGTTAAATACTTAGCATATATATACGTGAAAGTATTGAAAGTATTAAATGTGGGGAATTATAACCATACAAAAGATGAAAACATTAAATGTGGAGAATCATAACCATACACCTGTCATTGCTGTACGTAAAGCGGCTGGAGAAATAATTTTACCATATATATATATATATGGGAGATCATTAAATGGTTATATGTCCTAATTTATACTGTCTTGTTTTATATCTTGCCAAATAATCAGTGGTTCTCTTTCCATATTCACCTTCAAGTAAGGTGGAATTGATTTATTTGCTATGTTCACTTGTGCCTTAGAAAACAGGGGAAAAGAAAAAGGGAGACTTGTCAATTGACATTTTATAGTGTAATCATTAATAGTACTTTGGTGTAATCTGATTGTGCCATATTTTGTTTTGCAGCACTGCTGGATGCCCATTTGGTGAGGGCTGTCACTTCTTGCACTATGTTCCTGGTGGTTATAATGCTGTTGCCCAGATGATGCATCTAACACCTGCAGCAACTCCAGTATCTAGAAATGTTACCGCACCACCACCTGTACCTAATGGGTCCACACCACCCGCCGTTAAAACCCGCATATGCAACAAGTTTAATTCGGCTGAAGGTTGTAAATTTGGTGACAAATGCCATTTTGCCCATGGTGAATGGGAACTTGGCAAGTATATTGCTCCATCATTTGATGATCATCGTGCCATGGGACCCACTGCAGCAGGTCGTATTGCTGGTCGAATGGAGCCTCCTCCTGGTCCTGCCACTACCTTTGGTGCCAATGCCACTGCTAAGATCAGTGTAGAAGCTTCCCTGGCTGGAGCAATCATTGGGAAGGGTGGTGTGAACTCAAAGCAGATCTGTCGCCAAACCGGAGCCAAACTTTCAATTCGAGAGCATGAATCTGATCCAAACCTTAGAAACATTGAACTGGAGGGAAGTTTTGAACAAATTAAGGAAGCAAGTAACATGGTAAAGGAGTTACTGTTGACCCTGAAAATGTCTGCACCACCTAAAACAACCCCAGGTGTTCCTGGCGCCCCAGCCCATCCTGGAAGCAACTTGAAGACGAAGCTGTGTGAGAATTTCACAAAAGGATCTTGCACTTTTGGAGAAAGGTGTCACTTTGCACATGGAGCTGCTGAATTACGTAAATGAGGAGTGTGAACTTACCCTTAGTCAGGTTCATTATCGTATTAGCGGGCGATTTTTATTATTATTGTGCATTGCTACTTAGTGGTACTGACAGGACTTCTGATGTTAAGAGTTTTGCTGTTCTGAGTTTCTTTACAAAGCTACTTTTGCTTTCCAATTCCAACTTTTTCCTCATATTTAGGTTGCGGACTTAGCTTGAAGTCGCGGTCTCAAGCCCATACTAAATATGGTTTTTGTTCTTTGTCATTTTGAGGTTGTTCATGAATTTTATTTCTCCTTTCCTCTATTTCTCCGTTGCATAAGAATTTTTAAAATGATGTCCGTGCTTGGCTGTGAAGCTGAATATTTGTGGGTGAGTTAATAATAGAGGAGACTTGACTGCTATTTTTTTAGTTCAAAGACAACTGAATCAACATCAATATTAATTAAGAGTTAATTATAGTAGTAAACCATGCTAATATCTATCATTTCAAGTACGTAAAAGTATAAAGTAAATCTTTTTGCTGTACGGATTATCAAATTTCCTTCATGATGGGGAAAATTACAATAAAAGGAATGAGGTCTAAACATAAATAAGATCAAATTCAGAGTATGTTAAAGGATTAAATTGTAAGTTTTTAGCTGCAAGAGTTTTGAGGTTTCCTGTGTTAGTGTTTGTCAAAAAGGTCTTTTATCTTTTGAAACCAGAAGCGGTAGTATAAGTGAAATGTAACTTCAGAGGAGACTTCACCGTTAAAAATATATTTACTTGGATTTTGTTCTTAACTATCGACATTTCAAATGAGGGAAGTCTATTATCAATTTTTTATCTTTTATTTTATGTCAATTTGTATTCCTTGTCAATTATTTAATTATTTTTTTCTTAATATTATAAATGTCATTTATTTTTCTAGCGGTTAATAACAATTATTTTTTTTTATTTTTTTTAACCTCCAAAAAAAAAAACATTAACAACTCGTATGCCTATTCAACTTTTAATTAACAATATAAAAAAGTGAATCTCTCGGTGCCCAGCTAATGTTTATTCCAGTGACGTTTTTGCAGCCCAGCTAATGACCTAACGCTGCTTCGTGCATACCTGATCGAGGATTGTTCATATTCTGTTTGTCTTTTGAGTTCTTTCTGGTGGTGCGGTGGATTATAAATAAGACGCCTTGACCAAATTTCAAGTCCAGAAAAAGCCTTTTATTATTAGGTTTTTTTTTTCTAAAGTTACTTTAGATAACTTTATTTAATGTTCATCAAAACGACGTCGTTTTGGGGCGGAAATCATGGTGTTTTTGTAATTTTAATTTATTTCAGGGTTATAATAGTCTTTATCATTCTAATTTTTTTAATTTTTCAATCCCAAAAAGACGTCGTTTCGATGAACATTAGATAAAGTTATCTAAAGTAACATTAGATACTTTTTTCCCTTTATTATTAACCATTAAATTTGTTTCAATATATAGTGTAATTTGCAAAACTTTATAAACGAATCATTTTCGTATATATATATATATATATATATATATATATATATATATATATATATATTAACCTGACTGAATCTATTTTCGTATATTATTATTATTACTATTCTATTTTTAAAACTACAACCTATAAATTGGTAGAAAAATAAAGGAAACTACTTAAAGTCAAAGTTTCAAAGTTCAAACCACCATTATACCAAAAAAATGTTAGCAAATAAAGGCTTTGCTATAAAAGGGAGTTACACTGACTTACGATACAACTTTGTAGGATTGAAACTTGGGAGAATAACATTTATGTGGCCGCATTATCTTGTGTGCGTGTGTATAAATCTCAACTCAAGAAAATTAAATTTATTTAATATTTTTCTCTTAAAAAATATCAAAATGCAGGGTCAGACTGAAGCCACAAGCGAGATATTCCTTTATCCTAAGCAATCTGAAGAGCAGAGGGAATTTCCACAGAACAACACTTGCTTGATGCTTTCGAATATTAAAATCTATGTCATTAAGTTAAAATTTATTCAAAAAATTAAAATTCAATAATTCATGAGTATTTTTTGTGGATTTAAATTTGATATATTTTGGGATCATTTGGTGTAATAATTATTTTTTATGCAAAATAAATTAATTATAAAATTCTTAATAATTTAATTTTTCATAACCAAGCTTCCGTTTATTTATTGAAACAAGATGAAGTTGACAACTTCACACACGGAATGCTCCACACAGCTCCCCATAACAAAAATAAAAAAACAAAAAGCAAAACAAGCACGACAATGACTGAAAAAGAACAACTGCTTTTTCTAATAATTTTTTATGAATAATAATAATGTTGGCATGTTAAAGTGTAATGAAAACTGTCACTAATCAGTTAGATGGAGTGCATATATGCATGAGGAGGACCTACCATCAATCTAATACCTTAAAATTTTAAATTAATACATAATATCCAATGCACTTATTATGATCAGATTGGGTTAAATTAATCCATTGATAATGATCTCATGTCATGGAATAAATTTTTGTTGCATCACGTATATTTATTTGGGTATATCTTTTTTTTTAAAAGAAGAAATTTTTTAAATGTGATAGAAAAAATAAAATTAAAAGTGATAAAAAAATTCAAATATAAAAAAAAAAAAAACATTAGATATGCACTAAAAAATTATCCTAAGCGAGCTGACAAATTATTATTATTATTATTTAATGATTGCAGGGACAAGAACCCCTGCTCATGACGCCCATGGGTCCCAAACGTAGACTGTAACATTTGGATTTTCAATCTCACGGGAACAAATTGTAAGTCATGGACTCATGGCGAATTGGCAGTCCCCATCCCCTGCCGGTGCTGCCGCGTCTTGCTCACGCGCCGCCTGGTTGAATGGTTGATTCTTTCCTATTTCTTTTGGGTAGCCATCTCCTTCTGCAGAGGATCACGTGTCATTCTCTGCGCCTGTTTAGGCACAAAACCCAATTGAGTTCCATTCTCGGAACGCGGAATATCACTCTTCATCGATTTTTTTACCTAAATGTCAAGTAAACAATGTTATTTTTCAATCTGCTATGGGGCAAGTTCCCTATTCGGTGTAGCGAACTCGGTTTGCTGATGTGTCAGTATAACAAGTACCAAGTTAAAAAAAAGGTGTGAAGTTCGCTATCCCGTGTAGCGAACTTGGTGTCCACTAGAAACGTGATATGTCAGCAAACCGAGTTCGCTATGGTAGCGAACTTGCCCCCGTGACAGATTAAGAAATAATATTGTTCGCTTGATATTTAGGTAAAAAAATTAATGAATAGTTGTATTTCGGTCATTGTTCCTCCGTTCCCAGACATGGTAGGAACACATCGCTAGCAATATATAAATATATAACTTGCTTTTTAGTTACTACCGAATTGTTAGATCCCATTAGTTTTTGTTACCAAAAAAAAAAAAATCTTTTATATTTGCATAATGAGTGAATTATATTGATATTTTTTCTCTTTTTTTATAATAACAATTCTTCACTTTTATATAGGTGTGTTAGAAAAAATATTTCAATAGTAAAAATAGAAAATTAAACCCTATTAACTAATGTAAAATTTCACCATTAACGCTTAAATTTCCTGACATGAATTATTTTAGTATTCTAATTAGCTTACATATATGGCCATGATGTTGCTTACGTTTTTAGCATTATATAGAAACAATAATGATGCACGTTGATGGAACACGCCAACGAGGCTAGCTTGATATTTTATGTTACAGCGCAGAAAACAAATTCAAAAAAAAGTTATTTTTATTTGCCTTTCGTGTTATGTTTTTATATAATTATGTATATTTAATCGTTAAAAATCTTTGACATGATTAAATTATTTTCATATTATCATAAAAAGAAATATCTTCTCTTGGAGAGTGACCTTGGTCTTCTTCGTCACTCCATGCGACTGTGCAAGAGCCAAACACCTCTTATTAATATAATAAACAGATATTTTTGTTTAATTAGCGTAGAAACGCATCTCGAGCGCATTATATTTTTCAAAGAATCTTTATGAAAATAAACATGTCATGATCATGGTATATATATAGGGCCTTACTCAGACCCTTTTTACTTACATAAGCTTAAATTAGTACAAGAAAAATACAGAACAATAGAATAAATGAAAGGATAGCTTTGTTGAGGAAGCTTGATCTCTTATCCAGAGTGTTTTCTAAATAATTTTTTATGATGATTTTTATTTTGGTACTTCAAGATTTAAATATACAATACAAGCCCTCCAAGTAACATAAAATAACAAGTCATTAACACTAAAATAAGTTCTACCGATACTCTAGTAAAGTTAAAATTCAAATAACAAAACAACAAATAAATAACAACTTATGAAAATGACAGAACAAATAACTAAAACAATATATTGTAGCTATTTAATGCCTTGGTCAAATCAATTGTAATATATCATCCTCACTGATTTTCAGATGAATAGTATATATTTTTCTAATTAAATCTCCTAATAATTCTACTTTTATATAATAAAAATGTATTATGAGTATATATATTTTATGTGGGAGAGGTTATAGTTACTACCTCTTATTGTTACTACTTGTTACGACTAAATCATAATCGTTGATTTTCGTCAATCTAACAGTTATAATTTATTGGGTCATACTAATTAATTAATTATTAATTTCTAATATATTATAATCGTTAGATTAACGAAAATCAACGATTACGATTTAGTAGTAACAAGTAGTAACAATAAAAGGTAGTAACTATAACTTTTCTCATTTTATATTTCTAAGATAGAAAAACAGTTGGACACAATTTAAGATTTAGAATTTCAAAGGATTGTTTAAGAGAATTTAGAATTATTTCTATCATAATATTATTCACGTACGTAATACACACCACCACATTTTTAGAAATAACTTTCATGAAGAAGTAACTTTGAATGCAAATAAAAGATACAGATGGCAGGATCGCCAGTTCTGCTAGCTTTCATACAATCTGACAAGAATATGATTCTTTAGGAAGTTATTGATATATAATATTGGGCAACAAATATGTCAGTGGTTGTGTTAGAGCAAAACTTCTAATGGCAGAAGAATGAACCAAAAACAGAACTATGATTTCATTTAGATACCTCAAGTTTCTTAATTACATTCTCACATTTATACAATTCTACCTAAAGCTATACACACCAACTAACAGAATACATAACTCCCTAACAAACACAAACCTCCAAATAACTAACTCTAATATCCTAACAGCTCCTTGACGCAGAGATCACATGATTTTACCCCTCGAGTGCAAGACTGGAACAAAACTGAATTTGGAAATATTACTCATCATAGAAACGTACTGACATGATCATAAGTCGCATAAAGTGGTGTTGAAAGAGCTATATTTGAGTAAAAAAATTTCCACCTTCGACATTTGGAGAAGAATTTAAAAGCAGACCTTGATGAAGTAAAGTAATATCTATCAAGACGAGGAATTATGGCATGAGAAACTAATTGGGATAGCATTGATATTATAAATTATATTGATAATCCATATTCGATATGTGACATTAACAATTATTTTCTTGATTTAATTGCAAAGGTGCTCAAACATGAGTGGGGATAACACAATATCGTCCAATCTTACCGTGTAATGTCATCTACAAAGGTATTAGCAAGAGATTATGGAAAAGCTAATATCTCCTTTCCAGGTCAATTTTGTTCCAAAATGCCACATACAAGATAATATTGTGGCCAGGAACCCATTCCCTCTATGAAAAGGTTGAAAGAAAAGTATGACTTTATAACAATTAAGATTGACCTTGAAAAAGTTTACTAAAGATTAAGTTCATCATCAAAGAAATACAAAAGAACCTGTGGCTCAGTTGGTTTGGTGCTGAGTCCAAGGGTTTTGGACTGTGAGTCCAAAAGGCTTGAGTTCGATTCTTGATAAATATACTTTGTGGATAGCGGAGAACCCCTTGCCCTCTCAATCCGCGAAAAGTAGATTAGTCTCATCCTATGTGGGATGGAGATACCTTTGGGTTTACTCAAAAAAAGAAACACAAAGAAGATAGACTTCCTCATTGGATAATAAATTTATGTTTGTGAGTTGACGTTTTTTATCACATGTATTTTGTCCCGGATACGAATTTAAAAATAAATAGACCTGAATATAAATTCTTGGTGTCAAAATGGATTGTGTTGAAAATTATCTCCCCTAAAAATTCATAACATGAAATTATAGAGAGATTCGCAAAAAATTTCATTTTAAAATTTTAACTTGAAAAATCCATTAATATAAATTAACAATGAAGTTGATTGGGTTTCCTAATTATAACAAGCATCATAAGAAAAGTGCATTTAATCACAGAATAATTTTAAAAAACTTATTCAATTGTTATAAATTTTTTGAAACATGTTTTTTTAATTAATTTTTTTCTTCGCTTTTCTAATATAATTAGTAAGCTAATAATTTATAATCTTACAAATTCAAAAAAATGATAAAATATAATTTGAATTAAAAATTAATAATGCTTTAAAATAATTACTAATAAAATAATATAACTAATTATAAATAATTAAGTTAAGGATAAATTAATTCAATAACTAATAAAGAAAATAATAAAGATTATATTTACAAACTTTTTATTTATATGACCGATCATATTTTAAATTAAGAATATATAATTAAATCTATTTAATATAATTTATAAAAAAATTATATAGAGATCATTTTCCTACTATTAATGCTTATACTAGCTATTAGCTAACAATAAAGTTGCTAACGAGAAAGGGGGACTCAATTATGAATTAGCACTTTCCGCAATTAATGCGCAGCACAGGAGGCCAAGAGATAAGTACTGTGGATATTCACGATTGTAAAAGCAGCTCAACCGCACGAGAGATTTTCGGTGGAACGTGTTCATCAACTTTTTTAAATGGTACGCGATTAATGTTATTTTTCAATCTGTCATGGGGTTCGCTACCCGTTGTAGCGAATTTGGTTTGCTAACGTGTCATGTTTCTAATAGATACCAAGTTCACTACACGGGTTAGCGAATTTGGTTTTAACCAAGTTCACTAACTTCACACCTTTTTTTTAAGGTGATAGTTATTATTTACTAGAAATGTGACACGTCAGTAAATCGAGTTCGTTACACCGGTAGCGAATTTGTTCCCGTGACAGATTAAGAAATAACACTGTTCGCGTGACATTTAGATAAAAAAATTAAAAAAAAAATAATATTTTGGTCATTCTTCCAAATACGAGCACATGCTACTTTACCAAAAAAAAATGGATAAAACTCAGAAGGCAACAAGAAAAAATGATTGGATCCAGAAGAAATAAATTTTTCCGGACCACCAAGTTGTATACTCGCGAGCACTTAAAAAAATCCCAGCCACATAAACACACATACTTAACCCCGAGAATATTCAGAGCTCCAAGTTCCACACACGAAGAACAATCCCAGCCACACAGTGACACAGGCACACACACTTAACCCCCGAGAATATTCAGAGCTCCAAGTCCACACACTGGCGAAGAAAAGAAAGAATTTGAGGAGAAAAAAAAAATAGAAATCGGATCACTAAATATGGATATAGATATTTTATACTGCCAAACAGTCTGATCAGCTGACCAAATTGTATATTTATTTATTTTTTAGTTTCCTGATCGATTTATCTTTTCCTTTTTTTTGTGAAAGATTTATCTTTTGAATTATATTCGATTTGAGCATTAATTAAACACTATTAAAAAATTGCTTGAACTCAAAATCTTTAATTAAAGGGTTCAGATTCACAGAGACCACTTGGTACTCTCTTTTTTAAAAGAAAGAATTGTGAATCTATTTCGAAATATGGATTGGATCACTCCGAAATCTTTATCCATAATTTGTAATATAATCATATTGGATGTAAAAAACAAAACGTAAAGTTACTTACAATTGAATGTTGTATTATGTTAAATCAATCAAAGTTAAATCATTATTATTCTGTTTTTACACAACAACAGTTTTATTTATTTGTTGAAACAAAGTGAAGTTACAACTTCATGACATGACACTTAAAAACTCAGAGACGTACAAGTAGAAACGCGAGTATCGTGTAAAACCACACAGTAACTGCTCCCTTAACAAAAAAAGGAAGAGGAAACGAAATAAACAACTCAATGACTGAACGATAACATAATCCACACCCTTAGCTATAATTATTATTATTATTATTATTATTTAAGAGTAAGTACCCCCGGTCCCATACCCTGAGGCATTTTGATTTCCACCCACGCGGGTATTATGGGCAGTGGTCCGACCCGTGCCCGTATTCGTCCCAATGGGGTGTGAGCCCACCACTCCGTCGGTGACATTGCTCGTGGGCTGTCCAGTTCCATGGCCAGGCATTGCTGACGTCTGGTGGGCCCCCATGGGTTGTCCATATTCCCCGGTGGTGGAATACGGGGCTGTTCCGGTCCCAGTCGTGTAGTGGCCTTGCCCCATGTGCCCAACCGTGGCCGACTGTTTGGCCGCCGCGTTATGCTCACGCGCCGCCTGCTTCTCTAGCTCGGCCTGGTTGATCTTTGCATCTTTCTTCTGGGTTGCCATCTCCTTTTTCAGAGGATCACGTGCCGTCATCCTCTCTGTCTGGTTAAGCATAAACACATTAATGAGTTCTAGACATGTAATTATCAAATGACCATGTGTTTCTTCTTATATTTTAATAAATTAAAATTACGATTTAATGCAAATTATTAAATAAAATTATTTTAGAGATAAATGAATCATAATAATATGTTCATTACTATAGTAGGGCTCACCCTAGTTGTAACTGAATTACTCAACGTCATTTACAACAAAGTACGAACCAAGGAAACTAGATAAACCTTAGGTATGGGTGCAATCCTTGTTACATGTTATAAAAAGTTCAATTTTAATTTTTTACTAATAACAATCATGTCATTAAAAAAATCATTATTAATTTTTGAGATCATTGTATTCTTTTAATAATACAAAAGAATATGTCATACAATAATTTTTTTTTTTAAAAGTTGATATTAGAAAATGGAATACCTTCTCTTGGACAGTGGCCTTGGTCTTCTCCATGCCAGACTTGGCAGAAGCACCAATGTTAGCAGCTGTTTCCTTGATGGACTCTCCAGCTTTCTTTGCTCCTTCCATTTTCACAATTTCCTTTTCTTCAACGATCAATTATTTTCTTTTCTTTTCTTTTCTTTTCTAGCTTAGGTTTCTTTTGCTCTATGTCTAGCTGCACAGTGCTCTATATCAGTTAAATAGATTTAGGTGCTCCGCTCCCTTGAGGACACGTGTCAAATTGAAGTACGCGTGGCAAGTTTCTGAGACTTATTAGAGTAATCATCTTACACGTAATAGCGACGTGTCAGTTGGCAAGGAGCTTGAAGACAGCGCGGCAGTTTTGGAAGTTAACGACACGTGCCAAACAACCACTTGCGTGGGTTGATGTGTGTCCATCGTTATCAATAGACGGTCATTCCCTTTGCTTTGCTTTATTTATTTTATAACTTGAAGATGTTCTCGTTCAATTTTCTCCGATCACTCATTTTTCTCTTTAATTAGAATAGCGGATGCATTGAGCTCCACTACTGAAGGAAGAATGAAATTAACTCCCACTCGAGAAAGGAAACACATATTCTGGCCCCCAAAATTTTTCAAAAATTTATTTGAAGTAGAGTTTAAATCTCTAACTCAAACAAATTCTTAGAAGTTCAATTGTGAACTTAACTATACTTGAGAGTTATTTCCTTTGCTTTTGGTTATCGTATTTTTCTAATGTGAAAATATGTTTGAAACTCGTTAGTGTGTGCTATTCAGTGTTATAAAACCCGGACCGACTCGGCCGGGTCGACCCGGGAACTGGTAAATCGGTCATATAACCGGTCTGGTTGAAGCAACGGACCGGTTATGCATCAGAACCGATCTGACCCGATCCGACCCGGCCGGTTTTCATAAAAATCGGTGATCCGGGTCGGTCTCAAAAAAAATCTAAATTTAAAAAAAATCATCATAATGAACATATTTGAATATTTTTTTGCTTATTGACTTACATAAGTTATGTACCTACAACACTAATATTATCTCAATTATGCACTATGCAAAAAAAATTGATTTGATTTATAGTTAGAGATGTTATTTTCTTAACCTAAAGTCTCGTATCACGATCATTATATTTTTGTTTGATCTTTTATTGAATAATAATATGTGATTTATTATTTTTTATATTAAAATATTTGAAATTTCTATCATTTTTTTTAGATATTTGAGTATGTTTATAATTTTTTATTTAAATTATAAAATTGCATATAATTACCGGGTCATGTGGTTGAACCAGTGACCCATTGGTTGAACTAGTGACCCAGTAACTCAGTTCCTCGACCGGGACAATGACCGAGCCGGTTTTAATAACATTGGTGCTATTGGAACGAAGAAGTTATTCTGAGCCAACGAGGGTACCTACATTTAATTAAAGATTAGACTCATATATTTATAAAGGTGTAAGTTTAAATCTCACTCATAGATATAAGAATTTATCGATGGGCAATTTATAATTTGTAAGATTCTATTAATCGCAATGTAATAATAAAATTAAATTATATCTTAAAACATATTTTAAATGAAATATATTTAAAATTTAATTATACATTAGTTGAAAATTGAGTTTTCTATTACATCTGAAAATGACTATATTACATCATATTTGTTATGTTCTAGGGACAGATATGTCTAGTCTTGTGACTAGTATATTAATATTGGATCTATGTGTCTTCTCTTAGGTGTCTATGGAAAAGATACCTCACAGATAAATAGATAACTGTGCACTATGGTAAATGGAAGGCAAAGGGTGAGGTGTATACACAGTAACCACTAAGAGAGAAAGGGTTTAATATATATGTACCTTATTGACTTAATCCCTTATTTATAGAGGGGTTACCTGGCAGAGTAGACTTTTTTGGAGCGAAGAGACATTGTGTTGGGAAACCAACAATTGAAGAAGGTAACTAGGTTTTTTGGAGTACAAGTAAGCTTGTGTGTGAAGCTTCGAGAGGTAAGCTTTTGGACCTTAGAGTTAATCCATTTTTTGTTCCACCATGACCTAAAAGGATAGTGATTTTTATACATGGTGTTTGTGATTATATTTCGAATTGATATAATGCATGTTATGGGCGTTTGTTATTTTGTGTGACTTAAAATGGTTAATTCCTTATGCCGGATATAGGACAAGTTCCTGTTACTGGTATATTACAAGACGTTGCGTAATTCATATATTATATTTTCTCTCGCTAGTAGAATTTATATTTTTGCACACATAACATTGACATAGACTATGTTATTTTGATTTCTCTGATTATACTGTATGCCTGAAGTGAACTTCGGGCGGATGAACCTCCAAGGACCCCTAGTTTACTGAGATGTTTATCTCACCCAACGTTTTGGGACCCCTTTTCAAGCACAGGCACTAATGGTGTGGAAGCGTCTATGGTGGGAGGCCTATGTAGACTATGGTCTTTGGCATGCCACTATTGCTATTCATGCATTTTGATTATTTATGTTTTCAGCATGTTATTTTGGATGACTGTAGTATCATATGTTTACATTATCTTAAAATGTGTTGATATCGATCATAAGACATACCTCACATAGCAAATCCCATGCAACAAGATCAAATTGTTGATGAATCCAAGTGCGAATGATTGAGTGAAAAAATCCAACATTGGTTAAGAATGGAAAAAGTTAGCATCATATATGTGGAAGGACCCATGCACCTAATGCTTTAAGGTTTTGAGTTTGATTGTGGTGTCCCAAGCCCACTTAATGTTGTTGCTCACTTGGCCCATAGTTGACGGTCTCTTCCCACCATATGCTTTTCTTACATGGCCGAACAATTGGTATTAGAGTTAATGGTGGATTGGCTTGTGGTGATTCGAGTATGTCTTAATATGGGAAGCTAAGGTCTTGATGAGTATAGCCAATCCTTGATGGAAGAGCCAATGCTTGATGAGAAACCAAGTATTGATGAACCCTGTGAATACTCGAAAAGCTTCTCCTTGAGGAGGAAAGGATGTGGGCCTACGAGTCACACTTGAGGGGGAGATATTGATGAATTCAAGTGTGAATGAGTGAGTGAAAAAGTCTCACATTGGTTAAGAATGAACTAAGTGAGCTCTATATATGTGGAAAGACTCATGCACCTAATGTCTTAAGTTTTAGGGTTTGATTGTAGTATTTCAAATCCACTTAATGTTGTTGCACACTTGACTCGTGGTTATCAGTCTCTCTCCGTCATAAGCTCCCCTCTCCACATCCCAACACAAACATATGCAACACCTACTTGATGTATTTTATGCTTTGAATTATTGTTGCTAAATGTATCATAGTATTGTATGAACTTATTATTTTGTGTGTCAATCATAACTAGAAATTTGAGTCGTATAAAACATAAAAGTATTTCTGCAGTTATTGCATATAAGTTATCTACATTTATTTTCAAAACGATGTTATTTTAGGATTGAAATATTAAAATATTATAATTATAAAGACTATAATATTCCCGAAATGAATTAAAATTACAAAAATACCATGATTTCTATCCCAAAATATTATCATATTAGTTATTGCAGATAATTTATTTGCATCGACTGCAGAAAAAATAAACCTGTATAAAATGCATCAAAACTTGAGTTTGTTTGGTTGAAAATATACGGACATGTTGAGACAATATTTATGAATTTTATTTGATGACGTATAAAGATTATTGAGAGACTTATCCACATATTTTAATGGACAAAAAGGAGTAAGCAATAAAGGACGGTGCACGTACGAACCAAAAAAAAAAAAGGATTGGTTGCACGTACAAATAAAAAAATATAGAGGGCAGAGCCTAGGATTTTTTTAATACACACCCGATGCATATTTTTTAGGTTGTTTCATTTTCAATAAAGGAGAAAAAAAAATCGTTTATATCCCTATATTCTTTTAAAATTATCTCTTGATCTTTTTTTTTTTCTTTTTGGTCAAGGCTTACTAAGTCCCGACCCACCATAAATGAGCTCCAGAGTTTGAGCCTCTATATTAATGAGTGGGATAACTTTGATCCCACTGTTGTATTCAAGTAGGTATAACATGTTTTTACTTTTGAAATTATTTTTAACCCTTTTCAAATTTCTTTTCCCTCCTCATTGCACATTTTTTCAAAAATGGCAAAATGTTGTATTCACTTAAATACAACAATGATACCAAAATTGTATCCTAACGAGTGATAAGGATGTAGGATTTTAAGTTTGTAACTTAATGGTATTGATAGTTAGGCAAAATAACATTTTTCAAATATTTTAAGGAGAATGTTAGTCTCATGTTACATGAGAGTAGTTCTTTCATGTTATAGAGAGAATCTACGTGAGATCTACCATTAAAAAGCAAAAAGGAAAAAGACAAAAGAAGGAGTGCGATTTTGAAGTGAGAGAAAATAAGATAACTATCTCATATAAAATAAGAGTAATATTTCTCATATTTTAATCATCAGGCGACGGTAACAAAGCCATGTTTAACTTAAAACCAAGCAACAGAACCTTGTTAAATATAAAATTAAGTAACAAACTCTTGTTTCCCAAAAAATTTAACCATCCATTTATTGAATGGGTTATGGCAACAAAAACACCATGTTTAATATTTCTTGGACCTGCGAGACAATTTTGACTCCTTTCAATAACTCTACTAATTCATGTATAGTTTACCCACATTTCATATGTTCATTCATTAATAATTTAATCCGTTAAAATTTGTGCTATTTTTTTTGTTTTTTTGGTACAAGAAACTAGAAAGGGGTAAAACCCCAAATTTGTGCTAATTATTATGTACAACATATGTCATAAAGAAAGTTAGACATTTTTTTGGGGCTTGTTTGAATCAGGAAATAGTTGTCTAATATATATCAAAACAACAATAAGCCAATAGGATATATTCTCTGGCAAAAAAATAAAATATTATTATTTTAATAAATAATTATGAATACATAGCAGTTTTGAAACTATCTATGAATTTATAGCAGTCATTCACGTCCAAATTAGACGTGACTATTCACGTCTAAATTAGGCGTGACTCCCAAGGCATTCACGCCTAAATTAGGCATGAATCATCTGGTGTTGACACGTGGCAAAAAAAATCAACTTACGAACCGTAAAACTTTGGAAAGTCATAACTTTTGACTCGGGTAACC